AGCCCCTTTTCACAAGGAATTTAGCAACGATCAATGTAACCTGCACTTAAGTTTGAAACGAGCAGCTTATTTATTCCTGAGTGTGCAGGACTGAACTCTAGAATCATCAATAGATAAAAGACTATTAGAAATTTGAAGCATTCTGCTGGAAGGTCGGAATAGTGTTTGTTTCAAGTAACCCAGAGGCGCACTTTATTGGTGTGCAAACCTTCTCTCCACTTAGTGTTGTGAAGAATTGATCTCCTTTGAGTTATTGGGGAGGAAGCGTTTCTCCCACAAGGAGAAAGAGCCCTCCATTTGTGCTCTTTCTGGCCACCCAACAGTTTGGCAGAGACCTGAGAATGGATAACTTTCCTATCTTATCAACAGGGGAATCCTAGTTCAGGTATTGAATTCACACCTGGAAGGGAATTAAAAATGCAATGCAGTACTTGAAAAGGTTGTGATTATGAATGCTGTGCTTCACTGCTGGTAATGAAGTGGTTTCAAACTGCTGTGGAGTAAGAAGCCAGGTTTGAGCATTCATATAAACAGCTTTGAGGCCACAGGAATAAAACCTCCAATTTTGGAGTTTGGTGCATGTGCACTTTGGCAGAGCTTTAGTACGTCAATAGAATCCAAAATTCGATGTTTGACTTTTCTTTTTAAAAAATGGTGTGTTTGGGCAGTTTAATGGATCACTTGAGTTTTCATCAAACAATGGGAAGACAACTCATTGTGATTTGTACGAGGACCATTGAGGTTGTATAGACCACTGGAGCTCAGTGGTTAGAGCACTCGCCTCGCAAACAAGAGACCTGGGTTTGATTCCCTGCCAGGGAAAATGTTGGGCAAGTTTCCTTACTCCACACATGTTTACAAAGCAGTAAGTAGGAACCCGATTGGCGGATCGCTGTTCCGGGGGTAATAATTACTTAAAAATAATAGTAATAAATTGGTCACTTCAATCCACGACTGTTTGTGGGACATTGCTGTGCGCAATTGGCTGCTGTGTTTTGCCCACAAAATATACAGTCAATTCACTTTACCGTATATTCTGTGAAGTGCCTTGAGACGTCTCGAAGACGTGATAGGGCGAAACCTTGGGCAAGTTTCCTTACTCCACATGCCTAATAATAATCCCTCAAGAAAAAAGCAATAAGAATTTGGTCACTCAATCCACGACTGTTTGTGGGATGCTGCTGTGCACGATTGGCTGCCGTGTTTCGCCCACAAAATATACAGTCAATTAACTTTACAGTATATTTTGTGAAGCGCTTTGAGACCTCTCAAAGACGTAAAAACGCTATATCAAATGCAAAGATTATTATAAGATAGATGAATACTTGGAGGGGAGATAATATTAAGCGATGCACAGACGAGGCAGGTAAATGGAATTAAAAGATGATCTAATGAAATAGATTCATTTTAGACTTTACAAATTGTACGGTTAGCTTCCGTAGTCTTGTGATCCTAATTTAAGCCACCTGCCATATACAGTATGTTTATATTATCCTTGACTTTTGGTATTTTAAGCACTTGAGAAGTCCCATCTCAATTTTCTCCATAGACAGGAAACGAGGGTATGGTTTCATGCTTCAAGCTGATGATGTTAAAAAAGTGACAGATTATTTATCTCCAACTTCAATCTTTGTCTGTGATATTTCCATGATGACTATTTTAAAGAATAAAGCCATAAACATCCACAAAGGCATATTCCGTCAAGATTACATCAGGAAAAAAGTGAAGTTCTTTGAACAAATGTTGCATATATTAGACGCATAGGGTGTACTGACCATAATCGCTTTCTGATTGTTGAAATTCACAGTTCTCAATATAGTGGCACTTTTGTCTTGTGAATTGTTATTTTTAGATATTGAGCTATGAAGTAAGCAACTGGGTTTCATAATTTTTTAATGTCTAAGACCAGACTTAGCGGATTGCTTTTCCGGGAATAACAATTCCTTCCAAAAATAAATATATAATAATAAATTGGTCACTCAATCCACGACTGTTTGTGGGACACTGCTGTATGCAATTGGCTGCCGCGTTTTGCCCACGAAATATACAGTCAATTCGCTTTGCAGTATATTCTGTAATGGTTTGAGACGTCTCGAAGAAGTGATAAGGCGCCATATCAAATGCAAGGATTATTATTATATTGCTAAACATTATGTCGGTTTCCTGGATTAAATTTACTTTGGGTGGGGAAGGAAAATAAAATTATATCTTGATTTCTTTTCTCCTTCAAACTTCCTGAAATTTTCTTTCTAAAACTTTACCAACCCCTTCACTCAACAAGCACTCTCCTGCCCTCCCAACCCACCATCAGTGGTCAGGCCTTCAGCCTTTCTGCTCCCAATTTCTGGAACTCCATCCCAGAGTCCTTAGCCTCGGCCCTTTCCTCACTTCCTTCAAGGTCTGCCTCAAGACCTTCCTCTTTAACTGCACCTTCAGTCGTCTTCTCACCCCAGCCCCCACCCCTCTCGAATCCAACCCCCAGTTTGCATACAAACCCTCGACTGCAGTGGCTTGGGACATGCTGCTGTCATGAAAGACACAATATAAATGTAATTCGTTGTTGTTCAGGTCAACATTTACATCTAAATTTATAATAATCATAGCAATCCTTGCATTTGATATGGCGCCTTATCACGTTATCTAGACCTCTCAAAACAGTTGAGAATGTTGACTTTCAAGGTGATGCTCATGTTTCTGTAGGTGTGGGGAAACCACTTCAAGAAGTTTCCACACTGCTGCCGGGATTGCAATATTATGCCTGGGATTGAATTTGAGATATTTGTACAGGATGGGAACTTCTAATTTGAGACTTCAGTTTGTCAATATGGAACAAAATCCAATTGTATTATTTGCAAATCGCTTGTTGTTATTTCCAAAAGCTGCCAAATAAAAGTCTGGGGAGCAAAATGGTACTTCATCATTTTTCTTGCTGGTCTTTTTTCTAGTTGATTGGTTTGTGGAAATGTCAGTTAGCTGTTTGATGATTACTGTAAATGCCCCTGCTTTCTTCAGAAGTGCTGTCTTCAGAGGAACCAGCCAGTGAGCTCTCAGCCCATTTAAACAATCCAGCAATGCAAGGGGAAACAGTAATATAATTCTGTATCAAATATTGTCATGGCCCTGAGGTGCATTAACACCTCAATCAGCATTAATATATATACTGCTTGTTGGCGTGAGGATCTGTGACTCATGTTCATTTTATTTCCAGTTTCCTGCAGTCATGCGTTTCATTAAATAGGATAAGCAAGCTTAGCAAGGTTACTTTTTTGTGAGTTCTATGAAAAAAAAGCTACGGCTTTTCATTGAGATGATGTTTCACTCTCCCTTAATACAGCTCTTAGTTTTCCCTTGGTAAAATCTGGACTGTTATTGTCGGATACAATTCTGAAAATTGAGCAGGGCGACAGAGTGAGCTGAACTGACCTAATGGGCTTTCATCACTTTTACGTTATTGTTTTCATCTTTGTACTTTGGAGATCAATGTAACAATGATGGATGTATCTCATGAAACTGATTTTGGTGACTGCTGGGAGCATAGAAAGATTTTGAGGCATTGTACTCTATTATTAATCGGTAAGGTTGTATATATTTCACAGAGTGCATTTAAGTTGAGGGGGGGAATCTGCCCAAGTGTTTCTCATAGATTTCACTGTTCTATAAATTCATTACATACCTCGACTGTGTAGACAATATACACTCTGAAAAATGTACATGTCTATCATTGGGGCAAATCGCAGAAATATTGATGTCCAGTGCATGTTCCGGTATCACACCTAGTTCAGTAAATTTACAGTTTGCAGCATTGATATGCAGCGACTGCAGTCTTTGAATTCTTGGTGTAAATATGGTATTCTGGCTAAAGGGTCAGCAACTCTGTGGCTCTGCACCATTCAAAATCTTATAGGGTATGTTACATTGTAAAGGGCGGACTCCTGCAAGACGGCTCAGCAGCAGCAGCAGCATGACGTTGTGATGTGTTTTGTGCTTATGTGTCTGGGAAGGGGACAACAAAATATAAAGGAAAGGAAGAGACTACAAGATTGGAGATGCAAGATAGATAAATCAAAAGCAGACTTAAAACTGACTGCCTCCTCATGCAGACCCGCAGGCACTGTTTTTGTCCCCTTTGGTACCTTGCCCAAATGTACATAATTCATGTGTGAGCTTTGTGAGAATCAGCAGACCAGGCTTTTGTCTTCTGACTTGACTGCCAAATTTGCACAACCGGTAGAGGGTGCTGAAGAGCGACCAGTAACCTGGCTTGTTTTTCCCTAACTCTTGGTATGTTGGACTGATTTAGCCGCCCCTAAGGCCCAGTTGAAACGAGTCTGTAAACTGCAGCTCATTCCACTGTCAGGGCTGATCTATTCAGCTATTTTTAAGTGAGTTTAACATTTGGTTTAATTTGAATCTGTGTGTGTGTATATGTGCACACACGATACTACAGACTGTTTCTCATCAAATAGTTATAAATATTTTGCTTTCCATCCCACGCAAACCAACATTTACATTTAAATATAAATATCAAAGTGCTCATTCCTCTCCCTCTGAGCTAATCTTCACTTTTTCTCTTTTTTCCTGATCCTTTATTGTTTCTGTTCACTGTTACGTGCTGCAGGGTTAAAAAAACAAAGTTACATTCATTTAAAAAAATACTACCAAGCCTTTTCTGCAGGGGACAATATAACTTTCCATGTGTCCAAATTTAAGACTATTTTAGTGTTATGTTGAATGGCATATCTGTCAGTGTATCTGATTGAGTGATCATGTTTTCTTTAGGTTTCCAGGGTTTATTTAGCATCTGTTTACTATCTGTATGAAAATGTGGCCTTATTGGGAGACTTGTGGGCAGTGCTGTCCTTCCTGGAAGGCTCTGACCTAACCAGCAATTGTCTTTAGAAAGAAAACAGTTTGCAACTAATTAGGTTAATTTTAAAGAGTTATTTTTCAAATAAACTTTTTTGAAAGTGTAAGGAGAGGGTAGACCAGGAACGCAGCAATTCATTTTGTTCAGTTTTATTCTGCAGAAAGACCACATTTTTCTTATTCACATGTGTATGAAAAAAAATCACCGAATCTTAAATGCTGAATACAATGTTTGGTCAAGGCACATACAAGACTGGCCAAAGGGCTAACATTGCACTTTGGTTTTCATTTTAAAAAGTACCTTTTGTGGCAACAAAGAAGTCAGTGGCTCAAACTCTAAATGGAAATAGCAGATAATGTAGACCACAAGCTGGAATGAAGAGATGCTACAGCCACATTCCTCTTTGGATATATGGTTGTCTCTGTGCAACATATTCGGGCAGGAACAAACTACTAATTTCCTTATTACGTCCTGAATTAAAATTGTCTTCGCCGCGTATATCATTTATCTGCAGAACATCTGCCTTCAATAACTAGGAAAAGGAACTGTGCTTAAACTACAAGGTTCTTAAATTGGCTAAAAAAAAAGGTCTCTGTACGTTCAACACTGTTAGAAAACCCACTTTCACAGTCAACGAGCAGTCTTGTCAATAGAACATGAAATTTCAATCGCTTAAACCTTTTTAAGATTATCAAAGGAAAAATACAAATTACTAGAAATTACTAAAATAGAGAATTGTGATCAATGGTCAGGTAGCCATACTGCACAATCAGCAATAATCACCTGAATTCCTCAACTTTTAATATAAAGTTCATTAAATATAAATTATATGGCAAATGTACATTTTGTTTTTGTTTTTTCCTCCAGTTTTTCTAAATCCAGTGTTTTGCACAGCCACTTCTGCAGTAACTTAATTTCAAAGTCAACAGTTCCTGTAATTATCATGAATGTGAATGATCAGAATCTGGTATTCCACTGTCTCTGTAGCTTCTGTTGCTACTGCTGCTTTCACTATGGTTGTTTTTGTACAAACTCATTCCGTTTGGGGGAAATATAGTATGTATTACAAACTCCTCCTTTGCTGCGTGCTCACTGTTCATTGGGATCATCTGAAAGGCAGTTTCTCTAATCTCTAAAATGGAGTTATCCTTCTTAGTTCCAGCCTCTGCATAATCATCATCCTTCCTTCTCCGGCCCCTATTGTATGCACAAGTCTTTGAAAAAGGGGTTCCAGTTCTGTGCACATAGCAGCAAACTAATGCAAGCAAAGCAATTATTACCAATGCCACTGCGCCCCCTATAATGCCTGCCAAAGGGAGGCTTGTGTTTTTGTAAGGCTCCTTCTCCTGCTCCCTGTTGAGAGTGGTGGTGGGATTGTGCATCTTGGAGGAAGTAGTCTGTGTTTCTACGCAGACTGGTTTCTCATCTAACAGATAGACATTGCTGGTTTCCATGGGAACCATACATATTCTGTAGGACGACTCTGGTTCAAGGGCTGTGAGTAAGTATTCTGTTTTGTCCCCATGTACTATAGTTTCTGTAATGGATCCCAGGGAAGGTCTGTGTCCCATCTTAAGCCAACTGAGGCGCAGCGCTGTCATAGGCAGAGAAACCCTCCAGGTGATTTGAATGGTATCAATGCTTACAGATTTTATGCGAATTCTGACGGCTGTTCCTGGGACTGCTGTGGGATGGTTGTACTTCTTTCGGTCTGTTTTTCTCACCATTGGTTGTTTTGTCCCAAATGAAGGCCATTGGCGCTGGATGGTAGCTAACTGGGTAGAACTTACGGTGCTGGTTAGCATGGAGGTGAAAGTGTCTTCTGATGTAACACCTTTGCATTCAAACATCTCAACCGCCAGATCTTTAATGGCCATGCCTCTGACCTTTTCAGGCGCTTGGCACATTAGTCCACGCACGTTAACCCCAGTTGGAAGACTGCGGAGCCAGTCACGCACCCATTTCATTTTGCAGCCACAGTACCAGGGATTGTTGCGCAGTAATACCTGAGTCAGGTTGTCCAGGCTATCAAAGATTCCCTGAGGCAAGTTACTCAAATTATTATTAGACAAGTCTAGCCGATTTAATTCCTTTAGATCCGAAAAGGCATTGGATGGTATGCGATTAATGTGATTTTCTTGGAGATGGAGTTTTTGTAGGTTTGCTCCAGGTAGATTTGGTGGATAATTGAGTGAGTTGCGGACAAGAGACAGCTCCGTAAGGTTCACGAGGTTCATAAAAACTTCATCTGCAAGCCCTCGATTAGTCAGCAGGTTTCCATCCAACACCAAGCGTTTTAGGCCAGTAAGACTTTTGAGGGCATCTTCCGAAATACTAGAGATACGGTTGTCGTCTAGCCGTAGCTCCTCAGTAGTTTTGGGGAGTCCCGGGGGTATGCTGCTCAGGTGATTCCTCGACAGAAAAAGTAATTTTAGATATTTACTGCTCTGAAAAGCACCTTCTTCGATGCTAACAGCCGAGACTGAATTATCATCCAAATGTAGTTTTTCCAGGTAGGGTATTTTGGCGAGTGATTCAAGGGTAATCGTTCTTATATTGTTTTCTTGCAAATGCAGTTCTTTAACGTATTTTGGTATGTTGGTAGGAAACTCGTCCAAATTGTTGCTGTACAAGTAAATGGTTTCCACCTGCAGTAAGTTCAGGAGGTCTGATGGAATTCCAGCATTTTTAATTCGATTATTCTGCAGGAAGAGGGTGGTGGAGTCGTTTGGAATTCCGACAGGTATGGACGTCAAACCTCGGTCATTGCAATATACAAAGCCTGCATCACACCGACAAACTGAGGGACAGGGGTCTGCGGTGGTGGCTTGTGTTAAACCCAGAAACATTCCTGTCTCAGTCAACAAGAAGAAGCTCCAGATTTTGTAGATCAGCTTTAAGGACGACATGTTTATTCTGTAGCCCATTTGATTCCTGAAACCTTAAGGATTTAAAAATATGTATTAATATATATGTCAATATATAGGAAAATATGAACATGTCTAAAAAGTTGCATTGTATTAAGTGCACTTTCAAAGAATAAGTTCAGAGATTTCCTGCACTAGAGCTTAAAATAATTATAAACAGACTTCTACCGTATTTCAATTTCTATGGAATAGCTTCCTTCCAGAAAAACGGTTTGGTGTCTTTATCTTCAGATCAGAACTTCAGGCTGACGATTGTCTTCTAGTTTGCAACAGTCTCCTGTAAAAGACAATTTTTTAACAAAAGTTTCATGTGCACTGAAGCTAAATATGCTCTTCACTTTTGTTTATAGTAAGTCGTCTCGTTTTTGTTCTCACTAAGCATGAACTTAGAATACTTGAGGAGGAACATTTGATTTAAGTCTTGGTCACGGATACTTGATGATTCCAAGTATTTAAAGGAAACGACGTTCCATTAGGATCTGTCAATTCTGTGCTCTGACTTGAGTAAATATAAGCCATTTACATTCCAACTTTCAAATCGGGAGATTTAACAGGGCTGAATTAAAGAGATTGTGAGTGCTATAGGGACATGTACTTGGTCTCATCGCACTCTTCCATACTCATTCCAGAATTTGCACTTTTCCACCTGACCAACACTATATTAAATACAAATTGTTGTTGCTGTTGTATCTGCCAAAACTTGGCACAGTTCATTTGGGATCCTCCTACATATATCAAGCTCCTCCTCACCACCTTTAAAGGCTGCTTTAAGACCTTTTTGACTACGCTTTTGATGAACCTTTCCCCCTACCTCCCTCAGCCACCCCACCCGCAGCTTGGCTCAGTGGAGAGCTTCGAGACGACCTCCTAACGTGAACGAAGCTGTATAAATGTAAAATTGTTGCTGAAAATTGTAAGGCATAAACCATATTGTTTCTTGAGCATGCTTCTTTGTGTTATAGTTCTTGCATTTTGCATTTGGTATAGCGCCTCATCATATCTCAAAGCGCTTCAAAGGAATTACTATGAAATGGAGTGACTGTGTATTTGTAGGCAAATAGGCCAGTTGCTACATTGTGTTGTGTTTAACTGCACAGCAGGAGGCACAACATCTACATGTGTTTACTTAGTAACAATCTACTCTGACATCAAGAAGAAAATGTGTGGAATGTTTTTTTTTCCAAGCCTCACCTCGGATAAAATAACAATTTGCAGTTGAAAACACAACTGGTATTATTTTGTCATTAAAATGACACACTGTTGTGGAACTGAACACAGTGGATTATTTTACAATCTATACTTTATCCTATGAATTGAACTAACAAAAAAGAATCTTACCATCTGTGGGGGCTTCCAGAAAATCTTGTGCTTGCAAAGAAAAAACAAATTTGAACATCAAATTTAGCATGTTCAGATGGTACTGTACTTCCTTTTCCTCTGGGGAGCTCTCCTGTTTAGTTCCTCCAGCACAGTAGTTATTTCCCGTCGTCTTGATGTTTACACAACTGATCCCGGTTTGTGTTCCAGACCACCTGACTTTTCCAGGATCTTTCAGTGAACATGCCAGCAAAGGTCTATGATTGCCAGATAATCAATATAAAACCCCCTCTGCCTGTAGAAATCCTTTAACTTCCTCTCACTGTTTGGGAATTGTGCTTTGCTTCCTTTGAATCTTCACTTTATATTAAAAAGCTGACACATATAGACCTCTTTTGTTGTTTTCCACAGCTGTGACTTGAATTAGGTCCTTTGTGGCTTTTGAAAGCTCCTTTCTGCAGTGTGGTCGAGAACAGTAACTTCAAACTCCACGTCGGGAAAACCATTCAGTGATTGAGGCCTGACCAATGATGATGTGTAGTGTTTTCAGTGTTCCATCTTTTTATTGTGGGGTGGGGGGGGGGTAGAGGGAGAGAAAGACTGCAAATTTATAGTGAGTTCCAGCAAAATTCACCACATGCACTGAGAAAATGCGGCTTATTCTTTTGGGAAACGTCTGTTTTTCTTCAGTCAAAACTGTGATTCTCGTCCCTGAAAGAAGAGGTCAGGTCATGCCGACTCTAATTCTTCCCCATTTGGAAACATTTCCCACTTCCAGACAAATTTTGTAGCCTGGTGTCTTCCTTTGTGGTTTCAGTGAAGATTCATTCTGCAGAGCTTTGACCTTGAGTTTGCCTGTGAACACAATCACAATGGATAGCACACCAAAAACACAATTTTGATAGAATTTGGGGGCTGACATGATCAAAGCTGAAAGCTGCATTTCAGGCATCTATTACCCTTGGCACTGAGAGTTGATGAGGAAAATGAATTTAAATGGTGTCAGAGGCGAGATGGAATACCCTGATTACCACATAACTGATGAATCTATCTTATCAATATGCCACAGTTGTGAGTGTACTACTAATGCAAAGAACTCGCCCTAGAGGCCACCTTTGGCAATCACTTGGCAGGTTTTTGATTTCAGACATCCGGCAGTCAGTGATAGTGGTTTAAGAAAAGCGTAATTGCAATCGGTCTAAATCAGCAGTTTGTGGAGAAAACATTTTTGTAAATGCTGACACCTGCCTTGGCTGATTATAAATAGCAATGGAGTCATGCTGCAGGTTTTGCATGCTATTACTTCTGCAGCCTGACAGTCAATGCAGAGGCTTCTTAATCTCACAAAGGGTTTTCGTTTTGAAACGCATTGAAATAAAACCGCCACAAGAACTGAGAAACCTAAAATGTCACTTTTTTTTATTAAAACGAAAATGGAAAAGAAAGCTAGTATTACACTTTTGAAGTGTTAATCTGCAAATCTTTTTGCTTTTTTTTTGTGAGTGCGAAGTGTGTATGTTATATGCAGTGAAAGCCACATTGCTTTACAGTATTTAATTAGCTCTCTCAAGTGTCTCTTTAGCTTCTGAACAGTCATTTCTTTCTGGAATGTATGTTTTTTTGAAACAATATTTTTAACCCAAGCAATTGCAGGGTAGTAGATACTGTTGACCTAAAATTGAAATGCATGACCATAAAATTATCATTTTACTTCACCACATAAATTGGCAAGCGTAACATTTGTCTGAAAGTTACCCAAGGCTGGAATGCAGAAAATTAGAATTTCGACCAATGTTCGAATTAAAAGTGATCAGAAGATTTATTGAAGCTGTTGTGTCCCCTTATGCTGCTTCAGCTGTTCAGCTATTCAAGGATGGTTTGTTGGTCAGAAAATTCATTACATCTTGAATGTTGAAGAGTTCTGTGTGCCCTGACAGCATTGACATATATTGGACTCTGTTAATAAAGACTTTTTATAAAGAATCTTTTGAGAGGCATTTAAAAAGAGTTTTGGTGAAGAATGGGATATAAAAAGGGATATGTGCTTTGTATTAGTTAAGGAATCCTGGAACTTAGAGGTGGGGCCACTACATTTTTTTCCTTCTTGTTCCCTGAAGGCACTGACTCCTGCTAGGTTGAATCTCCACTCTCACTGTAGTTCTGATACTTTGTTCTAGACGACATTCTTCATATGTGAACATAGAGAGAGAATGTGTGTCTGCAGATTTTTTATGCATGCGAACATTACATCTAAGACGAACCATGCCCTGATCTGACATCCACAGTTGCACATTTTCCAACAAAAGTCTGTGGATATTGATCAAGTATAAAAGGAATTTCTGTCGGATTTTCTGTTTCATTTCCCCTACTCCCCACCCCCCCACCCCCGACATCGGGATATTGAATCCAGTATTTGTCCAACTACTACCTCCACTGAGATCAGCAAATTCTCTCAGATCAGGGATCAAAGCTGGGAACTGCCTGGTCTATATGTTTCACTGCTGTACCTTGTGATGCATTTATCCAAAGAATCATATTTTAAAATATGAAAGTTCCATCACATTGAAAACTTATTTCAATGGATGATACTTAACATAAGCAATTCATCTTAACTAGTGGTTAAGTCTTCAAACTAGTGTTCAAACAAAAAAAAATCCTTTGTTAAATCACAAATACAGAAGTTCTGAACTTTTATTTTGGGAAGAGATGGATTTTCAAAAAAAAAAGACTGTAGTGGAGACCTTAATAAATCTAAGATCATGATTAACATTTTCTCTGAATGATGTATTATTCCACTCTTAAGTCTTAAGGTAGAATATTAATGTAAATGGTATGTGAACTAGAATACATTTTAACATATTTTAACATACATAAGCCTCCAGTAAAGGTGAATCAAATGTTCCTAATTCGTTCAACTTGCATGTTATTTTATTTTAATACTAATTGTTGGCATAAGATCACTTCGCTTGCTACGGTTTGGATGATTAAAGGGTAAAAGTACTTGCAGATGTTTCCTCTCCAAGCATATGCTTTGTGCAATCATGAAAATACATTGCATAAAATAATGATGGTAATTCATGCAATGCAATAGAATCTACTAAATTTCATAAAGCTTTTCTAAACGGCTCATGTATGTGGTGCAATTACATTTTAGACCCCTGTTGGTGAATTGGGAGCTGTTTGTGAATTAATTCTACGCATGTTAAAAGCTAATGAAGAGGATAGATGGGGCAGGAATTTAGCATATGTTCAATGTTCATTTTCATCATTAACTGGAGTGACTGCTTCAGGTCATGCTAGACATTCAAGTCACCAACAATTGGCACTGCAGTCATTTATATCATAATCTGAAACTAGGTTCCACACTATTCCTTCAACGTTTTGCTGCATAACAAAGGTATGGCAGGTATTGCCTCCTCCACAAGTCATTGTGATTTGAGGCAGCTGGTTGAGGAGATTAGCTTCTAAAATTATACATCATTCTGTTCACCATGATGTCCTTTACATTTATGCAGTTTTTTAAAATACATTTCATTTTGAGATATTTTACATAATAAACTGAATAGAATGATGTACAAGTTATTGTTAGTAGTAATAATCCTTACATTTGATACAACGCCTTTCATGTCAGGAAGATGTCTCAAAGTGCTTTACATGTTGTAATGTGTATTGACTGAGTATTTTGTGGGTGAAGTTATTTATGGGGGGGGAGAGAAAGGGCATAGGTAATGCAGAAAGTATCTTCTTTAACGAAAATGTGAACAGATACACTTTAAGATTTAAAAACTTTGCACTGTCATTACAATATTAATGCAAAGTATAAGACTGAAAACTTTGTTGTAAATGGAATGTTGATGCTGAGTCCAGTATACTGTATTTGGAAGCATATGTTTCCAATGAGTTCAGATTTTAGAAAACTAAAGCAAATATTAAATGATTTTAAAATCAGAATTGCGTAGCATTTGTAATTCTGCATCTACTCAGTAAACAACCCTGTTTAATTGAAAGCTGGTAAACTGACTTTAAACCTGAATAAATTGTTTTGATTACTGGATTTCAATGTATTTTCACATCTTCCTCCACAGTATCACTAATTGTATTCCAGTACAGTAAATACAGTCCTACAGATTATTCGGTAGTACTGTGACTTTAAAGTGCGTGAAAGCTGTATAAACATTCAAAGTAGGGTTGAATTTGCTGTCTTGATATTACTGCAATATTTTCCCTGAGAAAACAAACTGCAAACGAAGTTGCAGGAAAAAGAAAAAAAATCAATCTTTTGATATATGATCAAAGTCCTCAAGTGACAATTAATGTACTCTAGGGATAACTTGCCAGGGCTTCAAGATCTATTTACACACTGTACAAGAGTAGCTGGGTGAGAGAACCTTTTCAGATTACAACCAAAATCATTGGACTCAAAGTGGAAGAGGAAAGCTCTGAGCGAGTGAGCATACTTTGTCGCTCTGATACCCAATACCAGCCACAATTCTGAAAACACCAAGGGTCTAATGGCATTTGATTTTCCCTTTCAGATTTTAAACCGATTCATTTTTAACACGTTTGTTATGCAAACTCTTGCTGGCAGTAATGTTGTTCCAAAAGTAAAAACAGTCTGTTTTGGTGAAAGCACTAAAGCTCATCAAGTTATTGTGTACCAAAGGAATTATTTCCTTTTTTTCGTCCAAATTGCAGCAGGATAAAAGGCATGACACCTCTTTGAAAGTGGACACCATTTCTGAGTTGAGGATTAGCTGAATTGTTGTGGTTTTCATAAAGGGTCCCTTAGCTTTGCTTCTGATTGTATGTCCTGCCCTGCCCTGCTTTTCACATCTATGGTGATGGCAGAAAAGAATGTCTTTGCATATCAAAAGCTACAGTGATCCTAACCAAATAGAAATCGGGAATCCTGCTGTTGTGCTCGGTCTCCTCTTTTTTGAACCTGTCGCCCACCATTCACTCCCAATGAGTCGTAATAGCTGAGCTTGCAGTATGGAATGAAATGACCCCTTTTGTGCAGACAGTGTTGTCAGGTCTCTGAAGCGCCATGTCAAGCAGTCAATGTAGGGTGCATTTTAAGTAAAGCCGTTAATTATCACTGAAGCATGATAAGAAATGCTAAGTGGAAGTAAAATGCCTATCCAGGTTCCTGATGTGAGGAAGGGGGGAAAAAGTGCATCTAAGGAAGTGACCACTTTATTTTTGCTTCCTTTTCATTCACTAGAGGTAGAATGACTTTTTGATGTCTGTAACAATGCATGGACAATAAAAGAATAACATTGATGAGTTATGCACCATGTTTGTGACTTGTACGTCCAGTAAAATATGTCCTGTTCTCTTTAAATACCCTCTATCCTCCTTCAGGACAGTTTGGGGGCATTTGTTAAATCAGTCTAAATAGTTTATTTGCTTAAAAATAATTAAATAGGTGACTGTGGGGGCTTCAAAATAAACAAAATGTTTCAACCTCTCCAGGAGATTATCAGTTTGTCAGGCTTTGCATAATGAATGTGCAAATGATTGCAGTATTGCATGGGTATATGCATTGCATTTAAGGTTTCAGTCAAGTATATAAAGATTTTTTCTATTCACTTATTAACAAAAAAATTCCTCCATAGCCTTCAATGTTTTCAAAAGATAAGGCATCAATATGAAATTACTGCATCAGTGAACTAAATAATTAGATGCTACGGGATGTTTTATTGTTTCTTGTACAACACTATGTAAGCCACTCGTGGGAAGGCCTCACCGTGAAAGAGATTTCAACCATCTGCGATGTGCTTACAAAATAGCCAATAGCTAAACTGTACAGTTGACCGCTAACCTAATGCATGTAGTTAATTTTATATAAATTGGTATATAATGCAGGCAGTACAGCCTAAACCAGTAAGTATAGTTTCATGAATTAGCTGTCAGTATGTTTACCATCAGTTTGCCTAGAAGCTGACACTATGGCACAATTAATTTAACTCTTTTAAACAGTTCAGCTTTGTGTTCACATATGTGCTGATCCACCTACGTTCTTAAGCTACAACAGATCATTAGAGTGTATACATATATCTGCTTTGAATTGTGAGTGATGCCAGGGATAATGAATGAAAAATCAAGTGATGAGATGTCATTTTGGTTTTGATAAATGCAATGTCTACAGAAACTGGAACAAATCCAATCATAACACAGAGAAGAGGAAGATTGTTTTTGATGTTTCAGTTTTCCTTTTGTGCACTCTTAAGATAGGAATATGCTTGCCTGTGTTTTGTTAACACATGTGAGATCAGTGGCGCAGGTCTGAACACTCGATAGAAAACTGCTGTGCTCTTTTGTACTGGCCTTTGGTGTATTGCAATTATTTTTTCCTGTTTTTCCTCTAGCTATTTTAATTTTGAAAGCCTTTGGACAGACTGCAACAGCTTCACTCTTTGATATGCAATGATTTGGGAGGGGATTTTCCCCCCTCTCATTGAAAAGCAATTTAAAAAAAGCTTCTTCCCCCCAAAAAAAACCTACATGACATTTTGTTTAAATCTTTACTTGGCTGAGCAAAGCAGTGCCTCCCTCCACAATAATCTGGAATGTTTTCGAGCAGTACTATCTGGGGACGTTGCCACGATGAGATGATCGTGTTTCTCTGAGGTTTCCTCCTTTTGTTCAGAGTCAATCAGCAGAAGGTTCTCTGGATCTGTTTTTAAATCCTTGAATCTAGGAGGTTTTGTGCTGTGAAAGTGTGCCCTTAATCTAGTTGGTGCTATTTATAGAAATGAATGTGTCTGTTTTTTCAAAATCGCACACTAATTCCACAACCTCTTAGTGATGTTGTTTGTGCTCTGAGGTTAATGATGGGCAGACCTGCTGATGCTTCATTAACTTTACAAGTCGGAGTTAACTCGAGCATTTATAAAACAAAATGCACATCGTCACTTTGGCTTTCAGCAGCGTGTTTTAAGCTTATTGCAATTAAACAATGGAACAAGTGCAGTAGCAATCCAATGAGCAACCATCTGTAGCAGATCTCAAAACATAGCTCCATGGGTTTATAGGTCCTTTTCAGCCTAACTGCTTTTTATACTACCCTTTAAGGATTAATTGATAATTAATTATGTTCTTTGGCATTATTAGTGGGGCCACTATTGATTTAACTAGCAAATATTACACTTGCAGATTACAATACAGGGGAGGAATTATTGTTTTAGATCGGGTTACCACATCATTTCTTCAGTGAATTTCTTAAGCTACTTTCTATGCAGCAAGGTAAATGAATTTGTGTCCAGATAAGAGATAAATTGCTCAGTTACGTTTTGCAGAGACAGTAATTCGTCAAGAAGAAGCACTGACTCTTATTTTAACAAGTTTAATTCTAGTTATAAGAAACTTTGCAAAAAGTAGGTTTTTAATCATGTTCCAAAAATGTTCATTGTAATTATGAACCTGTAAATTTTGTGTGAAATACATACCACAACTGGTTAACTTGTAAAACTATGAAAATTTTAGACATGGCAGTACCTTACCTATTTTGTAATCTTCATTTTGCTTTTTACCACAAGCTAAGTTTATAAAACTCTTGGATATTTGTGTTTTTTTTCTTTCTCCTCTGGTCTCTTGCCAAATATAGCCATAGTTTCCAAGGTATCTAGTACTTATACACATGAGAATTGAGAACAAAGGCCAGTTTTGTTGCCTAAAGTAAAGGGACTTTTTTAAAATTTTCCCTTGTAAATTCTCAGTGGAATATTATGGAGAAGCGGTTTAACAAATTGCTCGCGTCTACCCAAAAGGCATAGCAGTTGGTTATGCTTGCACAAAAGTTTGTGCATCTGTCAAAGAATGTTAACATGGTCTGTTCTCTTGCTGCCACTCTTTATTCCCTTCCCCCTACCCCATTCCTGCTGCTAATCCTTCAGAGCTCATGGTTTTTTTTTGGTGTTTCAGCCACTAAAAGATTACATTAGTCTTGAAACTTGAAGCCTGTTTATATAAAGAAGTTAACTGACAACGTTGGAATGTGTGTGATCTTTTCTGTTCGCTATTCTCTTCTACTTCAATCTTTGTGTTTTGTTCGGAGTGTATAACAGTTCTGAATTAATGCACAGTTTAACAAGATGGAAACTGCTGTTAATAAACTAGAAACCACTAAAGGTGGTCGCTAAAAGTGCAGCCTCAGTTAGAACGAAATTTTAATTATTTTTACAAACAGTGGTAAGACCCACGCTCTTAATTAAAGAAGGAAAAAGCATCTAAGCTGGAATATTTTTTTTTGCCATTTATATAAATAGCTTGATACAGAATTAATTCAGTCTTTTGTTTTCACAAAGATAAGGGTTAAAAAAGATCCCTTGAAAGTCGAGAAAATAGTACAAACCTCAACCTTGCATATTCATATTCTGCCCTCTTTCAATTGGAATGTTGTGGTCCAGAGTGTTGCAAAATTCCCAAATCTTTTCCAGATTTAGTTTAATCAAAACCGTATGACTTTACAGCATGTTCACAGATAAGGTTAAAGATGCTCTTGTTATTATTCCTCTCAAGTGCTGTATTCTTCTCAGTGCTTGCAAACGGCTGCAGTTTCTCTTGCATTGCTTTTGCCCACTTGGGGGTGGTACGCACTGCGAGATGCTGGTCTTATAAAGATCACTGGTCAGATGTTTACTGCCGGTGTTCACCTTAATTTACTTTAATTGTGACAAAACCTTCTGTCAGGAAAAATCTGCAGCTGCCTCAGGAAAGAAAACGTCCTGGATTGTTTGGAAGTTGTTTTTTTTAAGCATAACTTCTTGCTCTGTTCCATTCAGATTGTCGACTTCAGCTACTAACGCATTGTATCGTAGGAAAGCACGCCTGAACTACCTTTCATTGTACAGATGCCAGTTTGCGCTTTTTTGTCCCGGGAGTAAAAAAAATCTATGCGTGCCATTCCACACTGTAGGTATTAAATGTGGTACGGTTCTCGCTGTTTTTTTGTAAAGGGGACAGATGCCCGTAGTGGTTTTCCTTCTGTTCATTTTACATAATTCTGGTATCTTTCTAAGTCACAATTCACAACAAGATTTGAGCGCATTTTCTCGATAGCGTGAGCCATGGCTGTATTTGCCATTCGCTGTAGGCAGGCAGAGTATCCACTTAAAGTATCGACAAGAACAACATGGTTTTTGATTTCATTTTGTTGGACAATAGAGGTGCAAAGCTTCAATGACTTCACTAGCCATAGATGTTTTCTTTTTAAAATGGGTTTAAGTCGTGCTGAAATGCCAGTTACCAAAGCTGCTGACTAGTCATGCAAAAAAAACTTTCTGAACTAATCTGATGAAGAAGCTTGAGCTAAATCTTAACACCGTGCCTAAAATCTAATTAGCTTTTGCCGTCTTATTTGTTTTCAGTTGAAAAAAAATATCGACCTCACCAATTTACTATGGTTACATCATATTCACTCGATCTTTTTAATTTTAGTAGGCATAGTGTTTGTCTTGTTTTTCAATCTTAGATGTGAACTGTATTAACACCACAGAATACCCCAAAATGAATGAACTTCAGTGTGAAGAGAAAAGTAGTAGTTAAAAAAAATGGAATTTGCTGATGTTGACAATTTGGTTGAAGGTATTAAGAAAAGGTAAAATGTAATGTTGTGATAGATTTTCCTTAAAGTTACTGTTGTTTAGAATTGTAAGCATTTTTTATAGCAGCAATAAGGTTTCAAGCTACACTGTCGTATAAGCATCTGTTCATTTGTGTTTAAGAAATTCTCTACATGATATGTATCAAATGTTATGTGAGAACAAAGGCAGAGGCAAGGAAACTAAGAAAAAATTGCTAGCTTTACTAGTCTGTTCACATTGCTGTAGACAGACTTAAAGAAAGCTTTGTTTTAAATCATGATGCTTACATCGGTGAAAAAAATGGAGCTGTTATCTTACATAAAGCTAAAGGTATAGAATTTCAAATGGTTGCTTTGCTGTCCTCTTGCCCGCAATGTTCCATACTGTTTCATTTGCAGCCTTCATATGTGATAAGTCTTATTGATTTCCTAAGACTATTCTTTGGCAAGGCAGCATTTCTTACATCAATTAATAAATTAAAAATCCACCTAATTTTTATAATAATCCAAGTTGCCGTGTTACGAGAGTAACTGTAAACACTTACCAGATATAAAGGAGAAACTTCAAGCATCCTGCATCCTGTACACAAGGCAGCTAATTATTCCAGCTTGTTAAGCAGAAACGGTAGAGAGCAAGCAAAAACAGTTACTATATCTGTCTGTACTGTGCCTATTCAATCCTCCAGCTCTGTTAAAGGAGTGGGAGTGCGAAGCATTATAATAAGGCGAGAGGAGCCTCAGAAACTCTGAAGTTAAAGCTCCGTCGTCTACCAGTAGTCGAATGGACTGATGAGGTCACAGGTAGGCTGGGCTTGTGTAGCAGTGGGTGAGGTAAGAGCTGAATAATGAAGCGAGACTGGTGCATTTCAGACGCTAGGGGGAGTTGAAGAAGGGCACAAGGAAAAGTGCAACGAGCTCAAGACGCTTTGGATTGATTCTTTTACTTAAGTTAGATAATGCCATTTGATAAAACACTTGCATTCTTTCTGAATGAGTTGAATTATCATTTTTCGAATCTTAACTGATCTTTACAAATGAATGACATGGGAAGGAAAGGGAGAGGACAAAGCAAAACATTGAGACAGCAAAGGCCTCGGGATAGAAATAATATCGGATGTTATCTGTAAGCAAATGAAAACCAATCCTCTTTAAACACACTTATCCCAGCAAGGAGTGACTTTCAGCGACGACAACGGAAATATTGATCACTGTTGGGGGTAAACTTTTACAAAAGTTAAACTGTAGCAAGTTAAGATTTATTTTTCCGATCAAAGCAAGTCCTTGGGATTTTTAAGGGAGAGAAGGCAACTTGTTTCTCCTGCGACACTTTAAAGTCCCACCTCCCAGAAGTATTTGATAATTGCGTCTTCATTGCCTTTTATTTGTTTTACCTTTTATCTGCAGCTGTTTGTTGAGACAAAGAACTGTTCGATCATCACACAGAATTTAGTGCTATCAAAATGGATGGCTGGAGGATAATAAGAACAATGTTGACTTCAATTGTTGCATGATTGGACATTTAATGGACATTCCCAGCAGAGCAAGGCCATGCCCCTGCTCAACTTTAAATTACTTTTACCGTATTTGTTTTGCGCTTCAGACTGAACCCAGTGGCTGCAATTTGGGGTTACTCCAAATCTGCAGCCTGAACTTATCTCAACTTGAAAGGCTATCTTATCATTTGTAGGTTTCAAGTCTGATTTCAGAGCCAGTCAGGATAAATAAATAGGATGCACGTTTCCCTCTGGAGTTAGATTGCCATAGGAACATGATACCATCACGCAGAGATGTTTGCATGCAGTGTAGTGATGTGTGGATTATACAAAGAAAAGGAAAGGCCTGGTTGGCATGGGGCACACACAGCATCTTACAGTTTAAGCATGAGACACTCCCCTGAAATTGCATCCTGAATCAAAGAGACTTTGAAGACCATATAAAAGGGACTCATAATTACATTAAAGGGACTGCATTATGGAAAAGTGTTTCTGAAACTACTTTTTTGTTTAGACCTGCACAACATGATAGATTAAAACTCACCAATTCCTGTAGTCATGTCATTTGTCTGTAATATCATTAAGTCACACAGCTCTGTTACTCTTCCTTAAAGATTAGCCAAACACTTTTCTGTGAAGGAAACAACCCTTTTGAGAGATGGTCCCTTCACACTTTTACCTGGGATGATCATAGTTCACCACAGACCAAGGTCTGAATCTTTGGATCTTAAAACCATTTTAAATGCAGCTGTGCAGCCTTGAGATGAGGAATGCAAGGATGGCTGTATCCTTTGTTGCCTGGAGACGGACTTCATCAAAGGCTGAATACAGTCACATCAGCTCTCATTTACATTGTGACAACAGTGCACATCATTGGGAGAAGCAGTATAGTAATTTACTGTTTTGCTCTGAATTGGTGCACGGAATATAATGCGAAGTCCCATTTATACCTCACTTGCAGAGTTGATTTGACACAATTTTTGAGTCAAATCAATGCTAAAGGTGGAGTAAAAATCCATATTAATTCTGTGTGCATGTGCACAGCTCACTTCACCTTAGTCATCAATTTGGAGCAGGGAAATCTAAACAGGCTTTCCTACTCTGAATAGCGATCTGCTGAATCCCTTCCAGCAGTATGAAACGAGCTTTAGAAACAGACACGTTGCATCAATTCAGTGAATATAAGACCAGATGATATTTTGTATGGTTAGGGTTTGTGCTATAAACATGCCGAGTACTATTTAAAAGAACCTGATGAGATTTTTAAATTATTATTTACAATGAAGACTTAAAATGTCTTGCCATTAAGCTTTTGAGGAACATCTCTGCTATGTCAATGCTTATTGTTGTTCAAGCTTGTGAGAGTCATAAAAGATTTAGTGTGCAATTTTGATTATCGGGAAGGTTATTGGTTTTGCAGAGAGATCTGGAAAGCTGCCAGATGCACTGGACCACATTGTTGCAAGTCACTTCAAAGCTACGGATTGGTGAGAAGTGATTTTTTTTTGAGGTTTGCAAGAAGAGTGAAGCAAAACTTTCTACCTAAAAAAAACAGGTTTCTAATAATGTTTATTTTTCATTTTCTTTTTTTGAAACATTTCCTAGGCACTGTTCAGTAAAATAGTAATCATTACATTTGATATAGCATGTTATCATCAAAACATCTCAAAGCCCTTCACAGTGTTTACCGTGAAGCATAGTGACTGTGTATTTGTAGGGAGGTACGGCAGCCAATTTGTGCGCACCAATATCCCACAAACAATCATGAAATCTGGAGGATTGTTGGGCAAAACCCAAGTGATCCAGCCTCGTTCGGTTGTGGGTAAGTCGGAAAGTTGTGGATGGAAGCCCCATGTGGAGACTTGGAATCCATATAGTCTATGCTGATACTCCAATACACTGGAGGGCTGTTGGATTGTTGGAGATGCCATCTTTCAGATGAGATCATGATCCCTGTTTGTGGGACAATGTTGTTTACAGGTTGGCTGCTGTGTTCACCCACAGAACACACACCGTCATATCAGTTTACAGTATATCCTGTGAAGTGCTTTGAGTGCGATGTCTCGTTAATATCATGAGCCACTATATCCAAGCAAGGATTATTACAAATAGTGTCATGGGATCTTTAACGTCCATCTGAACAGGTAGATGGACCTTGGCCTCTCTGACAATTTAGTGCTCCCAGCACTACACTGAGTTTGAGGCAAACAAATGTGAGATAGACCTTCATAAGCACACACATCTTGGTATCTAAGGCGTCTGAGAATTCATCAGTGAGAATTGATCAGCTTGAGGCAATGGGTCAACATGCAAAATAGCAATTGGCTACACTGGGCTACAGTGCCCATCAAATTTTTTTTATTTTCTATAATGCTGGCTATCATTATAGTAGCACAGTATGTGTACCGTCACACAAACAAACACCTCAGCTGCATTTTGTTTTCTCTGTTGGCAGTGGGAAAAGCCTATATATACAAAAAAAAAGTCATGGTGTGCCTCCTGATGTAATCACAATCTGCTCTATCCTCCTCTTCCTTGGGGCTAGCCCGAGATAAACACTGGATGTTTATCTAATCACGTAGTACTTTTTTTTTAAAAAGTAGACTTAATGTTGAGTAGTGAAACTCAAATTTAGGAAATTTAGGAAATGGCATTTTCACATGTTCCTCAATTGTTTCAAATATCTTTTGATAATTTTCAGTAAATTGAACAAGAAATGGCACACGTATAGTTGTCGTTCATGTGATTTTAGCTGGCTGCTTGTATGGAGTAAATGTAACCTTTATGCTATTTAACTACTGGCAGCAAGTAAACACAAAGACTAAAAGTGAACTTTTAACATTTTGCTGGGATTCCTGCCTTACCTCTCAATACCCTGACAGGCAATGAAGCTGGTAGTTTCTTTCCTTTAGTGCAAGAGCCAACCAGCACTCAGAAAGTGAGCCAGTCAGCACTGAGAAAGCAAGACAGCCATCTAGATTACAATGGCCCTTTGGTACATAATCTACAAATGAGTCCGGGCAGCTAAGGATGGAGCTCTCATGTAGTATCCATATATGCACATCCAGCAATAGTTGAATAGCAATAAATATCTTGCAATGGGTGCATCGATAACATAGCAAAATGACACTGCTGTAAAGAATATGAACAGTTAGCTAAATTATAAAAGAGGAAGGGATTAATGTTGGTATAGTGTTTTAATGTTCAGCTTGTTTGAGGCGGATGCACTTACATTCAATGAGTACACAAATATCCCGCAGATGGGCTGTGGAGGTTGGCCCCAACCATAAATTTCAGGGAAATTTATTGTGATTTGAGTATGAATGGTGCTCAATGAAATTCGAGAGCAGCTTTTCCAGCTTTTCTAACATTCCACTGCCTACACAGCCCTTTATCAAATACTCCAGTTTCTGGTCTAAATTCTCTTTCCCAAATCTAATTCTGACTTGTCTTTTTGACGTTTGGATGCCTGACATAAATGTCTTGCATACAGTCTGACCCTATTATAATGCAATTGTTTCAGTCCTAAAACCAGATCTCGGGTTAAAAGAGGATGCATTTAAAAAATGGAGTTGTTATAAAGTGGTAGTTGAGTGTCCATAAGATCCCAACACCTACCTCAGAACAAGGTCACGATAACTGGTTTAACTTTGCATTTGTGCAGCTGGCCACCTTGCTTTCTGCATCCTGGCTGGCTCTCACTAAAAGAAGGTATAGTACTTAGTTTCTGCTCTCGATTCAGCTGCACAGCTACTACAATTCCTGATTAGTAGCTTTTTTGGCAAGGTGAGCATTGAAGTATTAGGCATTCGGCATATTTTGATGTGTAGAAAAAAGGGAGCTGAAGGAAACTCCATGTGCAACCAGTTGCAGTATTTTGGCTGAGTTGTGTCCACATAACTGCTAATAAGTGGTACAGTGTGGAAGAAAGGGAGCTGATGGAAACTCCATCTGTAACCAGTTGCAGTATTTTGGCTGAGTTGTGTCCACATAACTGCTCATAAGCAGTACAGTACTTTGACAGTCTGAAACTTCAGAACTGGGTAATTGGAATTTTAAATTCTAATTTAATCTGATTTTCTTCAGTAATATGCTTTGAATTGGTAAAAGCAATT